TTTTCCCAACATACCAGACACATTACACTGAGCATGCATGACATAATTTCCCTGCAAAGCTTGTGTGAGACCATTTGGTGCCAAACAATTGAGACAGACTGAACAAATGCACAGTGTTGCATTACAAAATAAAATTAATGCAACCCAGGCTCATTCTGAAAATGTAGTCCCATGAACGTTTCTGGAGACCGCGAAATACGTCCTGAGAGGTTCGTACTTTTGCAGTTTTTGTTTTCGCCAATCCACGAGACGCCGCTGTGCGCTTTTTTATATCTCAAACTTCTCTCGCAAGTGCCGTTCTCATCCGCTGTTCTCGCATAAACCCACCAGAGGCTGCTGTCGACTGACTGTCAGTCTGACTGACTGAATGACTGACTGGCTGGCCAACCAATCGACTGATCCACCCTCCTCCTTCCCTAAACCCAACCAGTTTTATCAATTGACCCACCCACCCGCTTACTTCCCTAAATCCAACCAATGATTTACAAAAGCCGTCCAGAAAAAGAAAAGCCCTCGTCTGATTTTTGAACATTCTCACCCTGTTATTCACTTGTTCATTTTATTTTTTGGATTCTGTTTTTGTTTTACTTGATTTCTGGAACCGCTCTTCCCCAGACTCAAACCCCATCGTTGTCATGGTTAACTCCTCTCTGCGTATCAAGTACGCCGATGCACACGACGAGCTAACTGGACAAACTGGTTGCAGCAGGAAAGCCCTCCACATGGAAGTAAGTGGTCAGCTGGTAAGCGCGAAAGTGAACGACGTCATACCGCCCTGTAGCATTCGTTTAAAAAAATGAAATGCAGCCATACGTACCTTCGGCTACATAAATCGCGGCCTCCAGAAACGTCCATGGGACTATGTTTTCAGAATGAGCCTGTGTTGAATTCTAAGCGCAGTTGCATTCTGCCTGAAATGCCATTATTATTATTATTATTATTATTATTATTATTATTGTTATTATTATTATTATTATTATTATTGATATTCCATCATTTAAAATTACTGATATTCTAAACTATTCCATTATAAATACAAAAAAATATATCATTCAGTTCATCAATCAATCAATCAAACAATATCAATCAATCAATCAATCAATCTTCTATCTATCTGTCCGTCCATCCATCCATCCATCCATCCATCTGTCTATCATATATTGAAAAGTACAATACATTTACAAAATAACTGTTATTATTAGAACATTAACGTAATTTTATATAAAAATTGATAAAAAATATAGATTAAGAAAACAGAATAATAAATAAGTGTTTAAATTAGATTTTTTAAATAAAAATAAATGTAGAATATAAAGGTAGATTGATTAGAAAGCTAAAGTGATTGGAAAGTATTTTTAAAATAGAAAAATATAATATTACAGAACCACTCGTCCTCATACTTCAGCCTCCACATCAAAGTTTCTAAAAGCAAAAAAGGTCAAGGTGCTCCAAAATTGACCCAGTCACCAGATATGAACATTATTGAGCATGTCAGGGGTGTGATGATAGAGGAGGCATTAAGGGTGATTCCAAAGAATCTTTATGAACTCCTGCAAGAACGCTTTCTTTGCCATTCCAGATGACTTATTAATCAATGATTTGAGTCATTGCAGAGATGTATGGATGCAGTCCTCCAAGCTCATGGGAGTCAGACACAATATTCATTCTCTTTTTACACTGCAGCATGACTTTATATTCTATACTTTACGTTATTTCTGTTATGTGATAAGGCTTTTGTCTGAGCAAAGTCAGACTTTACTGTCCTAATTTAATCATTAAAAATCAAGACATGAACATATTTTATTTTGGTCAAATAAGCGTAATCTAGAGGCCTTTGCCTTTCATATAAGCCACTTCTGATACCAAATTATCAACTAGAAGCCAAGTTATTGTTTGTTGTTCCTAAAACATGGATAGGCGACAAGACTTTTGTCAGGGAGTGTAGATGCTGAATTAATGAGGAAGAAAAATTATACTGTTTTTAATGTGTGTGTGTGTGTGTGTGTGTGTGTGTGTGTGTGTGTGTGTGTGTGTGTGTGTGTGTGTATGTGTGTGTGTGTGTGTGTGTGTGTGTGTGTGTGTGTGTGTGTGTGTGTGTGTGTGTGTGTGTGTGTGTATATATATATATATATATATATATATATATATATATATATATATATATATATATATATATATATATATATATATATACAAACATATGAATACAGTCTTGTTATAATAAGCTAGGAAACAATTCTTAAAAGCCAAATGTCTCCTGAGTTTATAATTTAAATTTGATGACTTTTTGAAACCTGTAACAACTCTGAGAATACAAACAATGCATTCCTCCAGCCAAAAGCAAAAGTAATAGGCAAAAAGTATGTGTGTGCTCTCTAAACAACTAAAACGATGAGGATAATAATAACAACTATTATCAACCGGGACCAAAACTGGCATGTACAGCTTGTACCAAGAAATTTCCTGTGAGGTCTCAAAGACTCTGGATTCCTCTCTGGATTAAACAAAATAAAAACTACGTATGACAATGCATTCCAAGTCATCCACCAAAACACGCTGTGCATTGGACTTTTATCTTTGCTCAACAAGTGATGCTAAAATGCTTGTGGTTTCCTGTGCAAATTGATGCTCATAAACAGTCTATTACTCATCCTGGCCAACAGTATCATGTTCAGACTGCACCACGATGCCTAAAACACACTACAATGCAGGACAACATCAGCCTGAGGCTTTATTTGTACTTTGTTTTTTATGAGAATTTGCACTACTGTATAATTAGCCGTGTAAACTAAAGGATGATTTGAAAGTTTAGTCCCACTCTAAATGAACTACTAGGTACTTGTGTAAAAAATTTAAAAAGTTTAACTAAATATAATGTACTTACTGTGTTTATAATGTATTGCAGAATATTTTTGGTGTACTCAAAAGATGATTTTTGCTGCTTGTTTTGGCAATACCTATAAATGTGTAGGTCTTATTTTTTTTTACAAATCTTATTAATTATATCTATTTATTAACTCATTGGATAAAATATTCAGTTTTCCAGAGTTGTTTGTTAATTTGACCTGCACTGAACAAAATTATTCATTTGATTTACTACATTTTTTAAGGTAAGGGGTTGTAGACATATTTATATGGGAAATTTAAACAAACAAATTAAAATGAGTAATGTTCAGTTTAATATTTTTGATTATATTCAGTTTATATAAATTGTATGCAACAATATGCAATGAACCATTTTTTTCAGTGTGTCTGGGAAGCACTTTGGTCAATATTTATGTTGTTTTAAGCATAGAAAGAGGCAGTCTGAGAATGAAATGTAATCATTAGGGAAAGAGTATCGACAAAGACAGTTGGACAAAGCAAAGTGGAGAAAATGGCCAGCCTCAAACTGAATTTGTGTAGCATCTTTTCTTAATGATTAAATTTCCTTCTTAAAATACAACATTCAGGGGTTCAGAAACTTTTTTTGCCTTCAGTTTATTTATTATAAGAAATTAAATGTATAGAAATATGTATTAAACACAATTCGTTATGTCACTGATGTCTGTTTAACGTAAATATTTAAATAAAAATGCAAGACTGCAAAACAAACTCCTGTAAAATGTCTCCAGCTCTGTCTCCATCTAGTGGTTGTTTTCCTCAAAAATATATAATAGTCCAAAAATTATCAGCGTTTCAGTGATCGTTCCTTCATTCATTAATTTTCCTTCGGCTTAGTCTATATATTTCAGAGGTCACCACAGCGGAATGAACCGTCAACTATTCTGGCATATGTTTTACGCAGTGGATACCCTGCTACATCCCAGTACTTGGAAACACCCATAAACACTCATTCACACGCACGCACGCACGCACGCACGCACACACACACACACACACACACACACACTATGGCCAATTTAGCTTATTTAGTTTACCTATAGGGCATGTGTTTGGACTGTGGGGGAAACCGGAGCACCCGGAGGAAACCCACACAAACACAGGGAGAACATAATAAATGAATTAGTTTGTTCATATTAAAGAGACTTGATGTAGTGACAGAACAAATATCAAAATGAATGAAAAAATATGCATTTTATTATTATTATTGTTAGGCTTTTATTATAAACAATGCATGCAAATCAATCAATCGATGAATCAACCAATAAATGAGGAATGTGCATTTTTAAAGATAATAATACCTACTATTTTAAAATATTATTAACTATTAACTATAATAATGAATAACAATAATAAGTATTACTTCATAATTGTTATTATTAATATTAAGAAGAAAGACCTAATTATTATGATTATTACATTAATTAATTTATACCATTATATTATTATAATATATATTATTTATATTTGATTTAAAAAGTAAGCAGAGATATCATAGCTCTCTATTAGTCACATAAATAAAAAATAAAATGTACTGCATCAGTTATAACTCATGAAGAGATAATTACAAACATCAGTAACCTTAATAGCACTATTTTCTCCCTTGTGTTATTTCCCCCCCCACACAATTGAAGCACTGCATTCATAACAACTAAAAAATCATTAAACACTCATGATGTTTTTATCATTGAACTGATTTTATCCATACAAAATGTTCTCAATAAAAATGACAAAACATTCAGGCTTAATAATGACATCCAGCACTCATTATTGTCAAATAGTTCAGATATCATTACTGATGACTTGTGACATTATACTGAATCATAACGCGATTACAACTTATGAAACATCAAAGCAACAGATAACATATATGAGACACCCGAACAGTAAAGGTTAATAGGTGGATATTCTTAGTATCTAATGGCCTGATTACAGGAGGTGTTGCCTTAAAACAGCTCAGGATGTAAGATACTATAATTATCTGCATGCTTAAATTCCAGATCAAAATCATGTTCTGTTGGGTGGAGACACGTGTCGTGGGTTTACATATTAACACTGTTATCTGTGCAGTGCTTTCTGGGCTGGGGTGTTGTCTTGGACTGTATCCTAATCAGATTATGATCACTTTATAAGTCAGGCTTATTCAACTTCATGCAGTCAGTTTGAGGAATTGAGGATAACCAAAGAATGATGCAGGCCTCAATCACATCCATTTTGGTGGTTTTGACACTAGTTGCCCAAGACAGGTAAGATTTCAAGACTATAACATTTGAGGGGAAATTAAAAAGAACAATATTAACATATTTTAAGCCTTCTAGTATAATAGAAAATGACACACAATGCTTTTTTTGTTTTATCTTTATCTTTTTTTTTTTAAGAGTCTCATTTGAAGCATTTATGTACAGGCTACATAAATGCTTCAAATGAGATTGTTTAAAATGTAATTTTCTTTACAAAAAAAAAAAATCATTATTTTCAGTTAATAAAACTAAATATACATGTTTATTTTTATTAATTGGACATAATACATTTTTTGAACTACAGTTAATTTAAGATTCTGTTTCAAGCGTTCATACTTATGATCCATCAAAAGCTTGTTTGGCATGCTGTCCCGGGAGAGAGCCCTGAGCTCAAGGGATCCTCGAGCTCAGGGCTTGCTCCCGTTTGCAGAGCGAGAGGGGAGCCTGAGCTCAGAGGATTTCAGAACTCCCTGGCTGCAGTAGCTGAGAGAACATGGGAGAAAAGGGGCTAGACAAATGCTTGATTGTTATGCATGATGTATATCTTTGGATGGTGGGAGGAAACACAGGGAGAATATACAAACTCCTCACAGAAACACCTACCAGCCTGGTGGAACCAGGGCCGGCAGTGTTCTTGCTGTGGGGCTCACAGTGCTAAACACTGGCTGCTGTGCCGCCCGATCAGTGGTAAAGAGGTGAATTGGGGAGGAAGGGGGGTTTCTTCCAAACAAAGACATCGTGGACTTAAAACTGTGGCTATTTATAGTAGCTTAGGGCTCATTTGATTGGAAGATAATGATTAGCTAATACGAGACAAAATTATAAGCACGTGCTCTTCTCGAAATTAGTTTATAAACAAACCTCACTAAGATTCTTAATAAACAACAAATTAACACAAAAAAGGAAAAAGAAAAATATACATAATTCAAAAGAGATAACAAAATGTAATTTGCTGCAATCGGTATATATATATATATATATATATATATATATATATATATATATATATATATATATATATATATATTTATACAACAGTTCTGTCTGGTTCTCAAATCTGATTGGCTGATAGCCGTGCGATATTCTGCAATATCAGAACTATACAGCCTCTTTGCCCTTTGTGTATTACTCCGCCCACATACAGCCAGCAAAAAGCAGACACTGCAGATCTAAAGTTTAAAAGATGCTTGCTAAGCTGTTTAACTGTCAGCTTATGATTTGAATCCGGAAGAAAGTAGTTCCTCATACAAAAGGGTTTTTGAGACTCTCCATGTTTCATTTAGTTTTAATTTACACAATTATGCCGTCAAACTGTTGTATAAACAGATCGTAGCAGAGCGATTTGGCTGTATATCGGCACTGGTGGGGGCACAAAGGCCTCCCACCAGTGCCGATATACAGCCATTTCGCACTGCTACTCGTTTGATATTGCTCATATATATATATATATATATATATATATATATATATATATATATATATAATATCTAATTATTCAAATAGTTAATAGATTAAATTTACTTTCCAATTGCTTAATAAAAAGTATAGTTCAAATCAGCACTTTATTTCATGTGCTGAACACAAAAGAAAATGTTCAGAAAAATATTGGTACTTATTAAAGATTGACTTCCATAGTAGGGAAATAACACCATGGAAGTCAATGGCTTCATTATAAACATATCTTCTTTTGTGTTGAAACCCATACAGATTTGGCATAAGTGGAGGGTGATTATGGATGAACGATCCATTTCAATCAGATCAGTTGTTGTTCTTGTTTTTAAGTCGCTTAGCATGCATGCCTCTGTTGAATGAATGCAGGTAAATAAACACATTTTAATTCAATGCAGATTGGCTGGTGGGCTGGAGCACAAATCTTATGACTACACAAAGTACCATACCATGGATGAGGTGAGATTTTTCATTTGATTCAGACCTTAAAAGGTCATTTTGTACTGATCTCTAAGGTCCACTTAAAAACGTTTAATAAAAAAGTATAAAAACAACATCCTAAAGTTTTGACCCCCTCATCATGAACTGGTAGTTTTTGCTGTGCTTGCTTTTTAAACGTAATTATGCACCATTGGCATGGAATAACTCAAAAAAGATCTGTAATTTAATAAATTTGTGTCTGTTGGCGAATTAAAAGGCATGGATGGAGTCTTCAAGTTGTAGTTTATGAATGACGGTGTGAAATGTCAATGCACCAAGATCATTTTCTTTTATTAATGTGGACCAAATAAACCAAGAGGAACAAATTACAAGTGTGAACACACCCTCAGTTACACGTGCAAAGTGTTATTTGCATGGTTAAGTGTTAAGAAAGATAATCAAGGGTTAACCAGAGGGTGAAAAGCACTTTACTGACCTGATAAGTCTCTCCATGCAGATATCAGCCTGGATGAATCAGATGCAAAGGGAAAACCCAGATGTTGTGTCCACCATGACATATGGACAAACATATGAGAAGAGGAACATTACATTACTAAAGGTATTTAATGTGCAAACATCAAAATGATTATCAAGATCTTCCCAACTAATTTATTTCACACACAGAAGTCTATTAAAAAAGGCAGAGTGTGAGACAAGGCAAATGCCAAATAAAGATGAGAAAAGCAAATAATAAGTCGAAAAAGTCAAGTTACTAGCTTCCATTAAAATAAAGCTAATAAATGTGTATAAATAAAATGAAATCTATGTTGTAAAATTATACCAAATCTGCCAAATTAGTGTTATTTTAATGTCAGAGAAGGGGTGTCTTTAGTATATTTTATCTATATTTCAGCTTTAGAACAAGTTCAAGTTGATATTTATTGTCATTCAGCTACATGTGTCGAGATGAAGTACGAAATGTCATGTCTCACAGGAACATGGTGCTACATAAATAAACAATCAGAAACATGAACACAACACTGTAATTTGTTCTGTCACTACATCACTGTAATCTAACTACTTACAGCTATAGATATACTATACTTACTTAAAATATACACATTACCACAAGACAGACTATACAAGTACTTTTGCATAAGACAGAACAATGTTGTGAGGAAATTGTGCAAAGGAGGTATTTAAGGTTGATGAAAACAAAAACAACAACATGATTTGTGGGGCCTGTTTCAGAAAGGAGGTTAAGTGAAAACTCAGAGTATTTTAACCCTGAATTGAGAGAAACTCTGGGTTTTCCGTTTCAAAATGGCAGGTTTGTTAAACTCAAGAAATCAGGGTAAGTCAAGCCTGTTTCTGAAAGAGAGGTAACTTTAACTTAGAGTCAGTTACTGTGGTAACTTACTCTGTGAACCTAACCTGGTCCGGAGCAGGTTTTATTCTCTAAACTCTGAGTTTCTGTCGGTCTCCTCCCCTTTTTTAAAGATGAAGCGTATTTCTCGCCATAGCCTTATGTCTCCACACACCTATTTCAGAGCTCATTTTGGAGACGCCCATAAAAACGATTGATGGAAACGTCATGATTCACATAACTTTTGAAAATACGCATAATAAAACATGTGTATAACTGAGGTTAAACTTTTATTTGATAAGATGCACATAAACATGGAAGTGCACTTAACAAATTACAGTATGTACATTAATAAAAGGTTTGTTAAATGTGTGTGAATGGACAAACCAGCAGACTGAGCACACTGTAGAACATCTTAAATGTTGTTTTAGTCAGTCTAAAATGCCTTAACTGTATCAGTATCAGTGTATATTATTAATTACCTCCGAGCGTCTGGAGCATGTCTCTGCGTTTCATGGCTTCAAACGCCCCCACGTGTTCATTGTGTGTCAATTGTCTTCTGAGGCGCAAGTACATTAATTAAATAAAAAATCATTGACGCAGCTTGTTCTACCGCAGTAAATTCTGTTTTTACTGTTGATATTTGGCGTAAGTTAATCAGGAAGTGACGATTGTGTTCTCTTCGACTCTTTGGATAAAAACGCTGCTTTATTTTTAGGCGTTATTCCAGTTTTGCACAAATTTATGTAATAGCCTATATTTTGATGGAAACACAGCTATTGCCTACATTTTTTTCACACACAAAACAAAATCACTATTGATAATGCCTTTTTATAGTCACGGTGTGCGCGCTTAACTCTGAGTTGGTCTACTCAAAGTTGATTGACCCAGCTCATATCAACTATTCTGAAACCGAAAACTCAGAGTTTTTAATCTCTCGGTAAATCAACTCAGAGTTCAAGTTTAAACTCAGAGTTGTTTGAACCTCCTTACTGAAACAGGCCCGTGGTCCGTTCATAAGTAAACATTGTTTTACTGATTGAGTCCTTGTAAGGGGGAATTTGTGTCTGGAGTAAGAATGTTTCAGGTGGAATGTTTGTTTGAAATGTTTCAGGAATTTGTGTCTGGAGTAAGAATGTTTCAGGTGGCAGGTGGTTTGTCAAGGCCACTCACCTGTGTGAGGCACACTCAGAAAAGCACAATGTTTTTATAAAGATATGGAGTGATTTTAAGAAAGTGTCTGGTGCACATGTAGGATTTATTTATTTGTTTGTTTATTTGTTTGTTAGTCAGTTCTTTATTTAATAAAGTGAAATGTATATTTAGTTTAAATGAGAATGTGTGTGTGTGTGTGTGTGTGTGTGTGTGTGTGTGTGTGTGTGTGTATATATATACATATATATATATATATATATGTATGTATGTATACTATATATATATATATACACGCACACACACACACACACACACACACACACACACACACACACACACACACACACACACACACACACACACATACACAATATAATTTTTATATATATATATATATATATATATAATATGGGTTGGTTTGTTTGCATCTGATATGCAGATTGGCTTCAGCAGTACCACACCAAAGAAAGCCATTTGGATGGACTGTGGGATTCATGCCAGGGAATGGATCGCTCCAGCTTTCTGCCAGCATTTTGTTAAAGAGGTGAGACGTTACCCAGGAATATCATAAAGTATTTATTTACAACATTGTAAAACTGCAATGTTATTGACAAAAATATCACATCCACTGCATCAGTAGTTGCACATTTAAATACTGATTTAAGATGTTTCTGGAACAATTATTACAAATAAAAACGCCTCTAGATTTGAATAGTTATGTTCTTTTCTTAGACTCCAAAATATGTATCCTTCCATGTATAATGAATTAAAAGCTCATATTATAGCTGATAATGACATCAAAGAAAGACCGGACCACCTGGAGGAACCCCATGCCAACACAGGGAGAGCATGCAAACTCCGCACAGAAATGCCAACTGACCCAGCCGGGACTAAAACCAGCAACTTTTATGCTGTGAGGCGACAGTGCTAACCGCTGAGCCACCGAGCCGCCCACACATAGTATTATTAAATGTAAATATTATTTCTTTTGATAAGACACTATAACGATATTCACATACTCCCAACCCTTTACACAACTCCTTCACTTTTTAATTTTGATTGTAATGTAATGATCCTTTTGTGAAGCTGCTTTAGAACAAGAATTATTGTGTAAAGCGCTATACACGTAAACTTGAATTGAGTTGACTTTGTTCATGTTTTTTATGAGCATTTCTCTATTTTTAATCTGACCAAGACCAATCTAGCTGTTTTTTATGTTAAAAAAAGGTCTTGGGCTCCTACAAAACAGACTCGAGGGTTAACATGTTGTTTAAGAACCTGGATTTTTACATCACCCCGGTGCTCAACATGGACGGATATATTTATTCCTGGCTGAATAACTCAGTGAGTTTAATTCTTTATATGGACTCTTCATGGAGAAACAAATAATGAATGTATAAAATCTACTGAAATCATCTGTGTTTTGAAGACTAGACTATGGAGGAAGTCTAGATCACCATGCCATGAAAACTCTACATGCTCTGGCACCGATCTCAATCGCAACTTTTATGCAAATTGGGGAAGTCAGTAACATCTTTTTTCCTGTGTATAGTGTATAAGTGTGTGTGTGTATTTATTATATAGTTGGAGTCAGAATTATTAGCCCTCCAGAATTATTAACCCCCCCCCCATTTCTGTTTAACCGAGAGATTTTTTAATATTTTTAGATATTTTTCAACATACTAGTATACAGCTTAAAGTGACATTTAAAGGCTAAACTATGTTAATTAGGTTAGTTAGGGTAATTAGGCAAGTCATTGTATGTTCTATAGACAATCCAAAAAAAATATTGCTTAAGAGGGCTAATAATAATGACCTTAAAATAGTTTTTTTTTTCTTTTTCTTTCGAATAAACACTGTTTAGGTCATAAACAGGGTTGTTGCTAGATCAGATAAAGTTGTGGCCAAAAGTTTACAAGAACTGGTCACACTTTACAATAAGGTTCATTAGTTAATGTTAATTAATGCATTTACTAACATGAAGAAACAATGAACAATGCATTTACCACTGTATTTGTTCATATTAGTTAACGTTAGTTAATGAAAATACAGTAGTTCATTGTTAGCTCATGTTAACTCATGGTGCATTAACTAATGTTAACAAGCATGGACTTGGTTGTTAATAATGCATTAGTAATTGTTCAATTATGATTAATAAATGATGTACATGTGTTGTTCATGATTAGCTCATGTTAGTAAATGCTTTAACTAATAAACCTTATTGTAAAGTGTTACCCAATAACTATTTATATTAATAATTAAATTTTGCATTGTATTTTATTAACGTCTACCCAAAACCAAAACCCAACCATCACAGTACTGTGTTTTATTCATTCATTTTCTTTTCGGCTTAGTCCCTTTATTAATCTGGGGTCGCCAACCAATTCGCGGAATGAACCGCCAACTTATCCAGCATATGTTTTTACGCAGCGAATGCCCTTCCAGCCGCAACCTCATCTCTAGGAAACATCCATACACACTTATTCACACTCATACACTACGGACAATTTAGCCTACCCAATTCACCTGTACTGCATGTCTTTGGACTGTGGGGGAAACCGAAGCACTCAGAGAAAATCCAACCAACGACCAGAGTTCACAAGGGGGGCGCGGGAGAGGATAAGTGTTGAGCGTGTTGAGGTAGAAAAAGTCCACTATTATATATGTATTTTTAAGCACCAAAAAAAAATTAAAATTAAAAACACATGCTTAAAATTCCAACATAATAGTACAAATAATTAAAATAAATAACTTTAAATAATTATTTAAATTTTGCTCACTCGCGCAATGTGCTTGTCAACGTGTCGTAAAGGCAAAATCAAAACAAAAATGGCAGAGAAACGTAAATGCAGTGATTCTACAGAGGCGAAGAAAAAGATTAGACAGTATGACAAAGCCTACCTAAAGTTAACCAAGTTAAAACTGATTAATTTATATTTTCTATACATATCATATATTAATATTACACAAACACACACATACAATATATATATATATATATATATATATATATATATATATATATATATATATATATATATATATATATATATATATATATATATATATATATATATATATATATTGGGGGCAAAGAAAAAGGTTGGGAACCACTGCACTAGGCCATACGAAACAGACGCTTTTTTCTGACCCTGTCAGTCAAATGCACATTCTCCAAGTCTTGAAACACTTCTAAACAGATCTATGTTTTGAATCGCTTTAGTCACGTGACCAGGTGTTTCGAAACACTTTAGTCACATGACCTGGGTGTTTCGGATCATGCTTTGGTGCAGTGTTTCGAAACACTTGTGCTTTGGGATCTCGACACTGTCGAAACGTCAGTTTCATGTCAGCCATCCCTAAAGGGACTTATCCAAAGGAAAATGAATGAATGAATGTTAACAATTTCTTGTACTGGCATTAGTTCGCCAGTAACTTACTGCAAATCAATTACAACAAAAATACCATATTTACATTTATAGCTCCATTTATCTTGCTGTATACAGTATGTAACTTCAGAATTTCATGCGTATCTTTACTGTAAAATTTACAGTAATTTTCACAAAGCAACTTTAAAATACAGTAACAAACTGTATAACTGTCCTACAGTAAAATACATTTAATTTTACGGTTAAATACTGTCTAATTTACACCAACCATTACCAGTGTATTGCTAAAGCACGTATTTTCAATGAGCCTGTGTTGGAGAATCCTCACAACTGTATTTTGTTGACTAGTGGTCGGGATCTCCAGAAACTGCTGTTCGGAGGTTTATAACGGTGCGACAGCTCTTTCTGAGCCCGAGGCCGAAGCCGTGACTGATTTTTTGGGAGCTCATCAGAATCATCTGCTCTGTTATCTCACCATCCACTCATACGGTCAGCTGATCCTCGTCCCCTACGGACACCCCAACATCTCTGCGCCCAATTACGACGAGCTGGTAAGCAGAAGAGAAAGCTTTTTTTGGAGGATATGTTAGCATCTCGGGAGCTTTCAGGCTTACACAGTGTTGTGTGAAATGTGCCTGTGTTTGCAGATGGAGGTCGGTCTCGCTGCGGCTAAAGCCATCAAAGCGGTACATGGGAAAAGCTACAAAGTGGGCAGTTCTCCTGACGTGCTGTGTGAGTGTGTTTAACATGACATTCAGGTTTCTTTTGCCATTTTAAAAATCACATTGCTAGCAAAAACTGTTTAGCCAAACTACAAAATGAAATTTTTGATTTGGAATAAATTATCATGGGGATGCATATCAGTTACATTAGTTATTAGCACAATATCTGTTTGTTTATGGATATATTTATTTTATTTATATTTATGTAGTTAAACATAGAGTTGAATTATTAGCCCTCTTGAATTATTAGCCTCCCTGTATATTTTCCCCCAATTTCTGTTTAATGAAGAGATTTTTTCTACACATTTTTAAACATAATAGTTTTAATACCTTAAAATCTATATTAACTGATTTATTTTATCTTTGCCATGATGACAGTAAATAATATTTGACTAGATATTTTTCAAGACACTTCTATACAGCTTAAAGTGACATTTAAAGGCTTAACTGGGTTAATTAGGTTAACTAGGCAGATTAGGGTAATTAGGCAAGTTATAGTATAACGATGGTTTGTTCTGTAGACAGTCGGAAAAATATATAGCTTAAGGAGGCTAATAATAAAAGGCTAATAAGACCTTAAAATGGTCTTTAAAAAATTTTAAAATGCTTTTATTTTAGCCCGAAATAAAACAAATAAGACTTTCTCCAGAAGAAAAAAATATTATCAGACATACTGTGAAAATTTCCTTGCTCCGTTAAACCTCATTTGGGAAATATAAAAAAAAAAGAGAAAAAAAATCAAAGGGGGTTTAATAATTCTGATTTTAACTGTATATATTACACACAAACTGTGATCTTGTATATTTAGCTGTGAAGGCTTATTTCCCTTTCCTCTATGCACTTAGATAACACTTATTTTCACTATTCTCGATTAGGGGTAATATATTACCCCCTGGTGCTGTTCTGTTATCTGTTTTTTATTGTCTGCTTCTTTTTGTTGTTTTTACTTCATTAGTATTGTACAAATCTTTATAATGATTTTGCCTGTTGAAAAAATATAGTTTAAAACTGCCTAAAATGTTTAACTTTTTTCTCATATTAAAATTTTTATAACCTTTTCACTACATGAACGATCTGTAGAAGTGTCTTCTTTAAAAAAGTGACCAAACCAAGCAATATTTAGGACACAATATGTTTGGAATAAAATTTTCATGTCTTCCCTTAAAAATGTGGATTTTAGCAACTGCATAAATATAATTTAGTACTATAAAAACTTTTGAAGTAAACTATAGCACATAATAATTTTTTGTACCTCTATATGAGGATTAACACTGATTCATAACGCCGATAAATATAACTTTTTGCAAATCTTAAATATCCATTTGTCAGAATTGTTAATGCTGAAATTCAAATGTCAATTTTAAATGTTTTAGTAATGCGATTTATTTTTGTGTGTGTATGTTTTTTAAATGAAAATTTTAATGTTAAGGATAGCACAATCGCCTCACAGCAAGAAGGTCACTGAGCCTCGGCTGGGTCAGTTGGCATTTCTGTGAGGAGTTTGCATGTTCTCCCCGCGTTCGTGTGGGTTTCTTCTGGGTGCTCCGGTTTCCCTTACAAGTCCAAAAACATGTGGTACAGGTGAATTGGGTAGGCTAAATTGTCTGTAATGTGTGTGTGTAAATGAGTGTGTATACAGTAGATGTTTCCCAGAGATGGGTTGCAGCTGGAAGGACATCAGCGGCGTAAAACATATGCTGGATAAGTGGGCGGTTCATTCCGCTGTGGCTACCCCAGATTATTAAAAGGACTGAGCCGAACAGAAAATAAATGAATAAATGTTGATTTTTTTAATTTGAGCAAAATAGACTCTGTGTCTTTAAATATTGGTCATTTGGTGTTATTTTTCATATGATCAAAATAATAACCAGCTTAAAGTATTCAACAGAATTCTAAAATCAGTCCATAAAATGAAGTCCAAAACCTCTGTTTGTTGTCCAGTAATACATAAACAAAAGTTGAGTAGCCTAGCCCTAAATCTATCTGTAATATTCAATGTATTAACTATGAATTCAACATTCAGATGTCCTCAGCAGCTGTCTAATGCATTTACAATCTGGCTCATGGTAATGCTGAAATATTGTTAACAGATCCAAACTCGGGCTCGTCCCGTGATTTTGCGAGGCTCATCGGGATCCCGTATTCTTTCACCTTTGAGTTACGGGACGAAGGGCAGCACGGCTTTATTCTGCCAGAGGATCAAATCCAGCCTACCTGTCAAGAAGCGTACGAGGGCGCAATGTCCATCATAAACTACGTCCATGATAAGAACTTCAAAAACACAGCCATTACAGTCACTGCCACACTGTGGACGACTCTCATGGCCTTATGGATCTCCACCAGTCACGTGTTTTAAACTGATATTTGCTATATGGATTGTACCTACTGATTGTGAATGTATATGGATTGTATAAATTCAGTTTGGATTTTAAAAAAAATGATTAATTGAATTGTTGTGCGTTGAATTAATTTTTGAATGAATGCTTATTACTGTGTAAAAATATCTTGGTTTGACATTTTGTGTAATGCAAAAACATTTTAAAGTCTGTCTTCTGTTCCAATTTGCCATGTTTTATTTCCATATTTATATACAAGGTAGTATTAGTGGGAGTATTTTTAGTTTGTTTGATTTAGAAGTGACTACATTTTTTTAAACAAACCATTAAAATCTGAATATGTTTTCAAATCAAATTTAATGTCTTGTTTAATATGATTTTGTAACTTGTACACATTTTTGCACTTGGATTACTTTTGCTGTCTTATAAATCTGAATTAAAGTTAATTTTTAAGTCTCTAATGCAGTTCTGTTTTTGTTTTTCATTAAAAAAACAGATAATTCAAAAAATGTTTGACATTAGTGTTTGGAAAAATTTGTGTTCTGCAAATTTGAGACTCAGTTTCTTTAGATTTTGGCTTTGATTTGAATATTATTGTTAATATTATTACATTAATAAACAAACAAACAACCGTAAAATGGAACAGAAGCATAACAAAAATAGTGTACATTTTCAAAATATTATATAATAAAATGTAATATAATATAACAGAATATAATATAATATAACAGAATATATTATAATGTAACAGAATATAACAGGATATAACATAACATAATATAATATAATATAATATAATATAATATAATATAATATAATATAATATAATATAATATAATATAATGTAATTTAACATAATATAACATAATATAGCATAATATAATATAATATAATAAAATATAATATAACATAACAGAATACAATATAATATAATATAATATAATATAATATAATGTAATTTAACATAATATAACATAATATAGCATAATATAAAATAAAATATTATAATAAAATAAAGTATAATAAAATAAAATATAATATAACATAATATAATATAATATAATATAATATAATATAATATAATATAATATAATATAATATAATATAATATAATATAATATAATATAACATAATATAATATAATAAATTATATATAATAATATAATAAATTTCCCAGAGATGGGTTGCAGCCGGAAGGGCATTCGCTGCATAAAACTTATGTTAGATAAGTTGACGGTTCATTCCACTGTGGCGACCCCAGATTAATAAAGGGACTAAGCCGAAAAGAAAATGAATAAATGAATAATAAAATTAATTAAAAACTTGCAAAGCTCCATTTGGCCAGCTGACGGCAGTATATACACAGATATCACTGAAGACTACTTGTATAAACTGCTGTCAACCTTAGATTTCTCAGATAAAACTGAAGCAAAAGGGACATAGTTTAGTGATTCTGGAGAAGATCAGAGTCTCGTCTGCAAACCGCACACAAGTCAAACATATCAGAGAAATGAGGGATCAGATCTACGCTTTACACAGAGAGCAGATTCAGTGTCACTGAAGCCCTTCTCTGTTTATCACTGACAGACTGGATGATAAAGAGAACAGAGATGTACTGTACCCTGTTTGAAGTTTAACAAGATGACAGACACTAAAGGATACTAAAAGGTTTAGCCAAATGTCAGGGGTTAACATTGAACATTGAAGGCCCTCTGGCCTAGTGAATTAAAATATTCTTTTATGAAGCTGTTTTTGTTGTTCTTTTTATTATTGTTACTATAGTTACTTTTTTTTTTACATAAATGAAAAACATGAAAATAAGACTGTTCCTTTTCCAGCTATCTGAGATTATTATTATTTGAATATATGTATATATATATATATATATATATATATATATATATATATATATATATATATGTGTGTGTATATATATATATATATATATATATTTTTTTTTTTTTTTTTTTTTTTTGTAATTTTTTTTATATATATGTAAAAAAAAGTGTGTGAGTGGAAATAATTAATTATTATCAAAGTAAAAAAAATATAAATTCTCTTTTTAGCTTAAAAACAAACAAACACACACACAGACAGACTGGCAGATAGATGAACAAACAAATAAATATGTAACAATTTAACAGGACACATACATTACAATATTTGTACAACTAATATAAATCAACAACAAATATAAATGAATTACCCAATAGTGCAGTTTTCTCCAACTGTTAAATTACTATATATAACTATAAGGCAACAGGTTTACTCACTTTTTAAAGTGCAATAATAACTTTTTGCAGTGAAGTATTTAGTATAAATTATATATTTTTTTATGTAAGAACCATATTTGCAGCTTAGAGAAATATAATTATAAAAGCTTTAGCAATTATCAAAACAAGAAAATCTTTTAGCTTTATATCTTGCTCCTTATAAAGATTACATTAGCAGCACTCCCAATAGATTCTTCTCACAATAATCATCACTGTATGGCCTGAGCTGATGAAAGAGGTTGTGAACCCCTGATCCCACAAAGCAGATGCAACTATTGGCCCATACAGTATTACCAGCATACAGTACCCTCAGGACAAATCACAACTCATATCTATAGATAACAAATTTTGCTTTGTTGCATTGTTGTTTATGCAAGGCCTTTACTAAATGAATCTAACTGTAAAGTACATGACTTTATAATCCTATTTGCTATAGCATTTTCTAAAATGGATTTACTCTGAACAATTACACCTGCAATTAAAGTAAACTAAACAATTAAAGTAACCCTTTTTTATTTTTATTATCACAAAAAGAAATTTGATCTTGTCTCAAATAACATCTACATAATAACAAATGTAGCTATCGTTTGCATTGCTTTTCAAATCATTTATTTTGCACCTTTTATGAATATTATCATACATGCTCATAACTGTAAAGTGTTACACAATGAACTTAATCATAATTTCTGCTATTGTATTTGCTTGAAAATTATTACTTTGAACAATTTAACTTGTTAAGTTAACTTTAAAGCAGGGGTGTAAAAACTCGGTCCTGGAGGGCCAGTGTCCTGCAGATTTTAGCTCCTATTTGCCTCAACACACCTGCAAGGATGTTTCTAGAAAGCCTAGTAAGAGCTTGATTGGCTAACGTTAGTCCAGGTGTGTCTGATTGGGGTTGGATCTAAAGCTGCGTCCCAAATGGCACACTAATGTTTTTTTACTAAGCGGAAATTCAAACCGTTTCCCTGATGGTTGCCAAATCAGTGAAATAAATGACTAAACTATCAAACAATACCTGCCGTGAGTGTTGCTGCATTCACCCTCGGGAGGCGCTATAATCACTCTCGTAGGAGAATTTTGCTTTCACCATCCAAAATAAATAAAGTTATCCAACATGTGCGGCCGATAGCTCCGCCCCTTCCGTTACGTGAGCAAACCTGCGGTCGTTGAGTGCCTGAAGTGTCCAACATTCCACACTTCATTTTACCGGCAGAATGAGTGCATCATCCGGGTATCTAAAGTGCACTTATTATTTTTAGAGTTTTCAGTGTGAATGCACTACTCACACTTTTTATACTACAAAATGGCGTAGAATAGTGCACAAGTATGCAATTTGGCACGCAGCTTAAACTTTGCCGGTTACTGGCCCTCCAGGACCGAGTTTGTACATGCCTGCCGTAAAGTAATCCTTTTTTCTACTTTATAAATGCAAAAATGCATTTGCATAAATGCATAAATGCAATAAATGCATTGTTAAACCTGTTTATGCAAACATTTTTTTCATTGTTTTTCTTTAAAATTTTCATATATTAAAATATATATTTTTTGCACCTTATGTGAACATCATTATATATATAAACATCTAACTGTAAAGCAGGGCTGCACAATATTGAGAACATCAGATGTTGCAATATTTTGTATTGCTGCGATACTGTATAAATGCACCAGATGATTTAAAAAACTCTATTTGGAAAGATTTCATTAATTTAGATCGACTGGGGAGATCAAGTCTTTTTCAGTGCAGTGCATCATAAAATAAAATAAATTGTATGCATATATAAATATGACAGAGCAGCATAAAAGTGGTAAAACAGTGCATTATGGTTTTCTGGAGAGTCTAACAGTATTCAAGTACAAAAATTTAACAATCAAATGTAAAATGACCAACCAAAACTCATTCTGAAAACGTATCCCTATATAAGTTTCTGGAGAGCGCCAAATATATCCCAGGAGGTCAATTTTTAGCAGTAATTGTTTTCATTAATGCACCAGAGGCCGATGTGTACGCTTGAGATCTCAAATTTCTCTCACAAGTCCTATTCATGCCTGCTCTTCCTGTGTAAATCCAGCAGAGGCCGCTGTCGACTAACCGATCGACTGACCGACATACATGGCGAGCTACTGGACAAACTGGTAACGGCGGGAAAGCCTTCCATACAGAGGTAAGCTGTCAGCTGGTAAGCGCGAAAAGGAATGGCATCATACCACCCTGTATCATTCGTTTTAAAGACGAAATGCAGCCATACGTACTTCTGGCTACATCTCCAGAAATTTATATAGGACTATGTTTTCAGAATGTATGTTTTAATATGTTTTTCTACAGTATACTGCAACTAACATGGTCAAAAACATCATTCATTCATTTTCTTTCTGGCTTAGTCCCTTTATTAATCTGGGGTCGCAACAGTGGAATGAACCACCAACTTTTCCAGCATATGATTTGCGCAGCAGGTGCCCTTCCAGCTGCAACCCGTCTCTGGGAAATATCCATGCACACTCACTCACACACATACACTACAGACAATTCACCTACTGTTGTAAAAAAATGAATGATTGAAGAATAGATGAGAACCCAATCCAGGAGACTCGAAACAAGCAGAATTCCTTTATTGAGACGTGTTGGTTAATCTGCAGTCATACAGCGTCTTTTAAGAAGTCTATGTGTCCGCAGAGCCTACTGGAGGTCCGCAGTCTGCTAGTTTTATCACAAGTCTGAATTAAGACAAAGCTTTTCTGTCTATAATGTG